AATCCACTTGTAGCCTCCCCCAATCCCCCTACCCCCACCCCATGTCAGATCTTCCCTAAATTATGGAAATTTTTTGGAAGACGCTGACTTGGATATTTAGCCTGGTCTTGGCCGCTGCTGAAGCTCAGATCCTTTCATACAACTCTCAAGGTAGGTTTAATAACGTGGACAAGAACATATAGTGATGACTATAGCTAACAGCTCTGAAAACTCACCAGTCGAAAGCCAAAATTATTTTCTGCTTACAATTATGTCATTAAGACACTTTCAGCTCTACCCAGAGGAAACTTTTTATTGCTCAATTATGTTTCATGTAAGTGTCAAGCTCATCTCAGATGCTTCTCCTTAGGAAAAATAAACAGATGAGACAATTATTGACATAAAGTAAGAGTACAGAGCTATAAAATAAATGTGGGTAGCTTAACTCAGATGATTCGATCTTGGAAATTATTGATGAGAAATGATAGAGTTCATTTTGAGATCTCTGGCTTTAAAAAAATTTAATTTCATGTGTTTCTACTGGAGTTCCAAATGTGATCTCAACAATGTCTCAAACTGTGCTCAGATTTGCCAGTTTGGTGGAAAATATATTGCTCTTGTAGGAGATGGTGTTGTCAGTTAAGCTTCCTTTTAAGTATCACCATCATTGCTCCTGAAAAACCTTAAGAGAAACCTTAAGACTTCTGACTTTATCAAATCTGTCCATATTTTGAGACATTTGTTGATCTACTTTGAAATGTCAAGAGGAGACATGTTCGAAATTACCGGGAGAGAAATCTGAGAAACAGATAGGCTACAGAAGTCTCCATTTACTCCCTTTGAATGTTACTGATGTGAAGGAAAAACAATGGAGACATCTACAATCAAATTTCTCATCAAATTCTTCCAAGAACCAATTTTTTCCTTAACTACCCACATTAATTTGTTTTTATTTCTCCAAAGGATTTTTAGGAGAAACATCAGAAACAAAGTTGCTACTAGAATTAAATGTAACTGACACTCAGTTTCCTGAGCTGTGAAGCCTCTCAGTAATTGAACTTTCCTCCTGAGCACACCTGCCACTTACAGTGCTGAAATTGCTTGGTGACTTTTGGTTTCCCATGATTACCCCCTCCTTTGTATTCCTCACTGTTATCTGCTTCACTTTATTCCCCCAAACACAAAGCGGAATTCCTGTCCATGCTGGAGCACTATCAGCTAACAGTACCAGTGCGGGTGAATGAGAGGGGCCAGTTCATGAGTTACACTGTGAAGCATTACAGGCCCGGTCGGCGGCGACGTGGACTGGACCAGGCTGAGCTGGACCACACTGAGACCAGGCTTTTTTACAGACTCTCAGCCTATGGCAAGCACTTTCACCTGAACCTGACACTCAACCCCAACCTGGTTTCTAAACATTTCACGGTAGAGTACTGGGGCAAAGACGGACTAGACTGGCAGCATTCAGTAGTCGATAACTGCCACTATGTTGGATACCTACTGGATCAATATAGCACTACAAAAGTGGCATTGAGCAACTGCAAAGGCTTGGTGAGTACAACCGACTTTGAATATATTCATGCTTTTGGGTGTATGAGAAGGTAAGTCACATTTAGGATCTTCAGCTGTACCAAAAGTACCTTTTGATTTGCCCTGAATTTGTAATATTCGTAGCAAGCTGTTTTTCTTCAAAATACCTCAGGAAAAAGCAATGTTTTCTGCATAAAAGAACAGATTGGAAATTGCACAGGGATATGAAAGCACACTGGCCAATGACATGTGGAATATGCATTGCATTTTATTGCCCACATATCTAAAGATCTTCAGCTGAAGTGTTTACTTCCTCAAAGGGCCACATATTTGCTGACTTAGCCTTCTTGATGTGACTGATATGCTGTCCTTACTGTGGATAATTCTTTCTAAACCATGTGGCTTGTTGAGGAGATGTGCTATTACATTAAGCGATCAAACTTATAATCTTCGCCTGGCAAAGAAATAGGTGAAAAAAGCATTGAAGGTTTTATGGACCAGAATATCATAGAGACTTTGGTGAGCTCTTTTGAATTGCGCCTGCGAGCAACCAGCTAGCAACCACCCAGAACGCCTTAATAGCAACACACTGTTTAGAATAAATAGCAAAATACCTCAATAAATGTATTGCAAAAATCTAGTTAGAGCCGAAGTGTGTCAGTTCTGCACCACTACTATCACCAAAAGGAATTCCAAAAGTTCAGGTGTCCTGAACACTCTGCTATTGGTTGGACAAACAGATAGTCCCGCCCCCAATGCTGGGAAGCTTAAACAAGTAGAGCAATGTTTTGATACCACCACAGTGTTTACACTTTTTGGGGAAATCAATCAACTATTGGCTTACTTATAGTTGTCGGTGCATGTTAAGCTCAGATGGGAGAAAGGATTTTAACAATGAAACATGACAATATGAATGTCTTGCTCAGCAGTTTAACTGCAGAGCATCAGGCCAGTGTCCAGAATGAGTCAGCATGTCTACATCACATTAATAAAGCATAGGAAGCTTCAAGAAATGTATGCCTCATGTGTGACTAACATGAGAGAGAGAGCGCTTAATTCACCTTGTCTGTTTTGCTGCCAGAGTTCTTATCTATGTCCCTGTCTCTGTGTACATGGCTGCTTCTGCTCACTGTTAAAGTGACTGCTGAGTGACAGCAAAATATTAGCTTAGCTGTCTCTTCACATCGGGCTTGAATCCCTCCTGCACCTGCAAGCCTGTTGCCAGCTGATTCCTATCTCACGCTGAGCATTTCATCTGGTGGGGACTTTGATGTTGCTTAACTAAAGCACACTCCACACGGTTGCTGTGAAACGTGGCTTCCTGTGATGCAATGCGATTATCGAAACGTTAGATCACGGCTCTGACTAGTATAAACTAGTGTGACACTGCAAATTGCCTTGACCACAAACTTCTGTAACTTGAAATGCTTTTAATGATACACAGCTTGGCATGCTGAGGCAATAATCAAACACTATTGAATGTCTCTGTCATGTAGCATATAGAAAATCTGTTTTGTTTTAATGAATCTGATCATAAGGTTGCTCAATTCAGAAAGAAATAATTAATTGTTTTGAGTTTTTGCATATATATATATATATATATATATATATATATATATATATAGATGAGGAGAGACAAAGACGAGAGAGGGGAGAGAGGAAAAAATAAATAAAAATCTTGTTTGGGTTCCCAGACACACTGCCGCTCGGCCCTCCACCAGCTGGGTAAACTTGGTAAACTTGCCTGGTGGTGGCACTGGATAGCCCTCGGTGGATGGCCCGACAGTCCTCCGCCGCCCGGGCCGCCCGGTCAGCTCTTCCAGGTTCGGGCAGCCGGCAGGAGTCCCCCATTCCCTGCTCCTCCCCATCATAGCGGATGGCAGCAGGCTCCGGCCTCGGGCGAACGGCAGCGATTCCTCCACTCCCTCATGTACGGCAGCCGTCCCTCCACAGCATAGGCGGCCGGCAGCGAGTTCGTCCGCCCCCCCGGCAACACACTCCAGCCCACCGTCTCGAGCCTCCC